ATTATGTGGATTTGCAAATGTATTGACTAATTACGACTTTATCCTGATGGACTTAGTAGACTTTGAACCAAGTTTCGATGAAATTGTACACGTTTTCTCAGGTTCTAAAATAAAAAATTAATTTTCTTTTATCTTCCACTGTTTTCTAATTTTGATATTTAGTTGGAAAAGAGAAACCTATTGTTCGATGACCTAAAAACCATTAATTTATTACGTCCGTTTCGGGCTCCGTATACCACCCGATTTTGATTAAACTATTGGCTAGAAGGATGTACTGCCAGTCTTATGTACCTCTACTTTTAAAAGTTTATTTGCACAAAAAAATGACTCATTGAGGTGGAACACTTGGTTTTCTATTTTCAACCAACCATCTAAATAAAATTTGTCGCTATGATCCAAAAAGTAGGATAATTTCTTTTTCCTGACGATTATTTAACAAAAAGTTTTGTTAACTCATAATATATTTTTGGAAAATTATGCGGATTTTTTTTTGACAAAATCGTCTTCTTTGGAAATGACAATAACAAAGATAGTTAAATATCGGTAATTACTTGAACTTTTCTTAATTCCCTCCTGAAATTGTTTATTAAATTAAAAATTTATTTATCTCTTTTATCTTTCTTATTATTGATGTCGGTATCGTTACAATGGCCTAGAACGTTTTTTTATAGATCTTTGTAAAAATTTTCCCATAGAAGGAAAGATAGGGGGAGAGAGAGGGAGCGAGTGAGAGTAAGAGAGAGTAAGAACGATATAGAAAAATGCGGGACGACGCTTTTGAACATTATTTACCCTTGAAGAAGCCTCGGATTTGATCTACTAGTCGGCCCAGACCATTTCTAACTTGTACAATTCATCTCCTTTATCTAAGATTACCTCGACTACATCTAAAGATGAATCCCCGCTTCAAGGACTTTATATTATTTTTACTTCTAAGATAATAGAATAGCCCTCGCACTCGGAGCGAAATTCTTGTCGAGAAGTTGACCAATAGGTCGTTTTAGCCACGTTTTTGTTAAGTAAAAAGACCATATTAATCAGTGCTTAATGAAAAATATACATGATATTTTAATCCCACATAAGGTTGTATTGTTCATTCGTGATAAAAACACTACATGATTTAAGCATTGATTATCAATTTGGTATTAATTATAAACAATTAAGGTACAAATGGGAAATTAATGAGATTCGTGATTATTAAGGTGTAAAAGCAGACGTTTCTGAGAAAACCATGAACCAAGTAGAAACGTATCGTTGAAATTAATCATTTATTACCTGGCGGGAAATCATTTTTCCCTAATACGAGATAAAGATGATGCTCTAAAATTTCCGCGTTTAAAGGCCTTTGTAAATTGTGTAACCCGTGTGTTATGTAAGTGTGTTAAAACCTTAAGGGGTTTTTGTTTCTATTGAGATACACGTTGTGCCGAATATGTCGTCCACGTGTTATATCCCGGATTAATTTTTTTCTCCCGTCTGCTAGTGTTAAAAAAAAGAAGAGAATGAAGAAAGCAAAAGATAAATTACGTTCGAAATAATCCGGCATGGAAGAAGCCAAGTTTAAATCATTAAGCGTAATTTATTTACAAAATATATTGTCCGTGAAATATTTATTTAAAAAAAAAAAAAAATACTTTCAACGGTTATTTCAGATCAATTTGGAGTCAGTACTGTAAAGAACATTATTATTATAAATAAATAATTGTCGTCAAAATATATGTTTTTTCACTATTATAGTAAATTGACGGGCAAAAAACGGTAGGTAGGAACTATTAGAATTTCTTCATTTTTAGTTATATACAATACAATCAGATGCTTAGTTAGAATAAGGTTTTCGCTGTATTAGTTATTTAAAATTGAGATTATTTTAAACAAACACTTCTTTAAAAAATGATTATTCAGAGTTCGTGAGATGCGGTCTGTTGTGACTTAGGTTTTAGAAAAACATTTTCTTTATCGTGCCGACGTTTCGATCTTTATTGAGATCATCTTCAGGGCCTGGGATTTATTAACATTGTTTGAATTTTACAAATACATGTAGGATGTGAAAAAAATGAATTTATACAATGCTAGAAAATTTTAGATTAAAAAAATGAATTTATACAATGGTAAAAATTTTAGATAAAAAATGAATTTATACAATGCTAGAAAATTTTAGATAAAAAAAATAAAAAAATACATATCTACCTGACAGCCTTATTTGAATTTGATTTGAAATACTCTTCAAAAAACAGTTTTAAAGTACAGTCTTGTTAATTCGAAACTTGATCATTCGAATTTCTTGATAATATGATCTCCTCTGCAGTAACTTTGTTAAATCGAAAAATTCTACTGTATTTTGGTACACTCGGTGATATGACATACTTTCGTAACAAAGGGAGAACGAATATTCTATAAGTCCAAATGAACCAATTTCCCTTTTTATAATTCGAATTCTTGTTTGCAATATCCCTCTAACTTTCCACGTATTGTTTACTTCCTTGTAGCCTTAAGTTTTTTCGAATGTTCTCTAGTTTGTCAATGTGTTCTCAGCCTTGGTCGCTTTGGAAAATGATTTATACAGGCTACATTTCAACGAAAACCGCTTCACGAATTTTTTTAAATAATGCATAACAATGTTAAATTTTATAGTTGATCTAATTCATCTTTTTTATTTATTTTTGATGATGTTTTATCTATGTACAATTCAAATACTAATTTTTAAATATACATATCAACTTAATAGTTTAATTTTCTTTTCTCTTAATAATTTGAACATCTTGATAAATCCAATTATTTTTGTGGTCCGTTGGGTTTCGAATTATCTAGAGTCGAGTGTCACCTTGTAGCGACTTCAGCCACTTTGGGAATCTTTTTTCTCGGTCGTTGTGAATTGTAAGTTTCTACTCCCAGGGAAGGTAAGGTCAGAGTGGCTTCGTCCCAAAAGCTGTATGTCCTTGATACTCAGAGCCGTCCTTGAGCTTCTTCCGACCAACATTGTAAAATTTACACACACCCAATTAAAATTATCACTCGAAGAACCTTGAATGTCAATTGATTGTAATTTTTTCAACTTTAAAATTAATTTCGAACTTGGAAAACGTAGTAGACAAACAACGGCCGAGAAAAATGGGAAATCGTGTTTTCTTTACAAGTTGTGGCGTATTATGTATGTCGTGATATACTTCAAATATGTTACAATGAATGATGATATATTAACTTTTATTTGGAGCATTTGACATAATATATATATGTCATAATCCATATGATTTAAGATGATGTCCAACGTATTTGTGTAGGGAAAGTGGATAATTTTGTTGATTTTGTAAAGTTATCTTTATTGATAAACATTGCTATCATATTTATCCTGGAATAACATTGACATCGGGTGGTATGATGTTTTTAACAATGGATCCCACAGATTGTTCATCTCCGATGATACTAGCCCGCCTATTCTCGCCGTTTCTTTTCAGACACGTTTTCGTCGATTTTCAATAAGTGAAATTATAAAAATGTACCATACGTTTTGGATATTTATCGAATAAGACAAACTCAAGTTTGGAATGTTGAGAATGAACCTCTAGGTGCACTCTAGGACTTGAAGTCTTAAATATGCAGTTTGTTTGAAAGAGTTTAAGATTTGTATATAATTTGACAAAACACGTTTATATATAATACACGGATAAAATATGGGGTTTTTCATTAGTCGGGAATACATGCTATACGACATAGGCTTATTAAAAAAAAGGAGAAAATTTTGGAAACAGGTTCGTAATGGCGAAGGTTCTCATAATTCCTCTTGGGAGTATATGATGTTTTATACGTTAAAAAGAGCTAATTAATACTAAAAATTGTCTTATGTTCATTATTGAATGCCTACCTAACCAGAGAATAATAGACAAATTAGAGTTTTATTTATAATTTAGTAATTACTGATCATTTGGGTTTACCTTTCCTCATAGGATCGTTACGTCAGACGCGTTCGGCATTTAACCATCTTCAGTGTGTCTGTGTGATACAGAAAATGCCGAAACCCATCTTACAGATCAACTAAGCAAGCTAAGCTGGCCAAAATGATTAGCAACGAATTGCAGATTCACCCAGTGAACCACATGAAGAAATCTCACAATTAGATTTTTCTTGAATATGCACAGACGAATATCCATACCGGGGTGGGAAGAACAAAATTTTTCTTTATATTCGTCTATTTTATCTGTTCTGCTGCCGAAATTGTGTTTCAGGGGCTGTCAAAAGCTGGGTCATTTCAACCCCCATCGCATGCAGTTTTTAACCTAGTCTCACTCACATTCTCACTCAATAATTCTTTTGTAATTATATACATTCACTCAACTGGGTTGTGGATTAGTCGATATTTCTTCTTCACCCCCTTCACCATCCCTAACCATCGGCAATCTCACACTCACACGTTCACGCTAATAAATATGTTTACTACATTGTAAACACTATAGAACTCAAAATGAAATATAACTATCAGTACGATATATAATAAAACCGCCGTGTTTTCTCCGTAAATCGGAATAGGGGATAAATTCTCAGCATTGCTGAAGTACAATGTTTATGCCGGGTAGTCTATATACTCCCTATATAGAGCCAAGGAACTCCTCTTGTTTAGGGATAAAATATATAGAATGAGAATTTTATTTCATGGTGTCTTGAAAATAGGTGATGTAATCAGAAATGCAACGTTTGAAATCATTTCTAACTTGCTAAATTGGCTTTGGAAATTGACCTTTATATATATATATATATAAATTTGTACTGGTCCATTGATGCTACCAAAATAACAAACGATACATGTTAATAGTTTTTAGTATATTNAAAAAAAAAATTTTTTGTGCACTTCAAAGTGTTAAGTTAATGTTTTTAATGTTTACAGTATTAAAGTTTTTATATGTAACAATTTTATCAACACATGTGTTTATACCTATTGCAAAGTATATGTTAATGCTATTTGATAAATTGTTAAAATAGTAAAAATATAAATTGATTTTCCGACTTACAGTGAAGCAAGGTATACCATGTCCTTTTCCTTTTCTTTCCTTGGACGTTCCAGTATTTCCTTCTTCTTGTAGCCTGAAGTTCCGACAGCAATTTAACCGTTAAGACGGTGGTGTTCAATGTTCTCTTGAAGACCGTGCTGTCCTACCGACTGCGCCAATTAAGTCAACTTCGCTGGTTGATTCCTTTTTAAAAACTTTATTTGCGAAATACAGTTGACAAAGAATAATTAAGTTTACCAATTACAATGATGTGACTTCACTGGTTTCTAGGCAAGGAATGTTCTTACATTTTAAATTATAAACAATTACGTTTCCCTGGTGGGAGAGAGTGCTGATTGCAATTCTGAGAATGCCACCTGCATCTTAGCATTGCAATCTGATAATATCCGATAACTTATATATATAAATTAATGATATAAAATGTGGCTCTATTTTTTGTAGTAACATTACCTAGTTATGAATTATATAAGTCGTATTTTTGTTTAAAGGCTATCTTGAAGATATGCGAAGTACTTAATCAGAAATGTAAACTCTTCAAATTCTTTTTTATAAATTTCTGACAATATGCTTATTATAAAATTTCTTTCTATCTCTTGTGATAATCAGAGAAAGAAAAGTATAAGTGGGATATTTATTAAATTGTTTTAATGCAAAAATCTTTCTTTAATCTGATAACAAAACGTATATTATAAAATGTAGAGTTGTCTGTATTTATGTGGTATATTATGGGACGTTTTTTCTTAATGGTTATTTTGAAAATAAGTGAAATACTTAGCCAGAAATGAAAACATGATATGATGTAGAAATCGAAGATGCCTTTTAATTTTACAAAGTTTTGCAGGGTTTAAAAAAATACTATCATGGTGGATTCACTAAATAAAACCAAGTTCAGTGCCACTAGAACGAGGTTTCTGTCTTGACTCTTTCCTGAGAGATTGACATTTTTGTAATTTTAGTCTGAAATCAGGTTTTTCTTAAAACATAAAATTTCTCCAATTTACCGTCAGTAGAACATAAATATGACCTTTATTTTATTAACTACCTGAAGTTTCCCAACAGGAAAACATTTTTGTTGAAAAATCAGCGCTTCCGAATACACCGTAGCCGCTCAAAGAATAACAAATGTTAATACCCATTTTTTTTTAATAATCAATTGTGGTTCCTGCAAGGACATCAATCAAAATTTTCGAAGATTTCACCAAAGTTGCCTCACTTTATAAGTATTCCAACGACATTCTTACTTCGACAATTTTTAGAAGTTTTGTTAGATAAATCTCCTTTGCAAGGTTGAAAACCTTTAGGTACCTTTTAAATTAATTTGATACGCACATTACCCCGGTCAAATAGTAGTTCCCGATCGTAAGATACTACGTTTTACGTAAGTGATGTTTAACTGAGAAAAATGTTGCCTGTCATTTTAGGAGCTACTATGGAGCTAATGTATTATAGTTTTTCGTTCTTGACAACCGCACGGGAGTTCAAGTCAAGGTCTTGTCATTTTTAGCGTTCTGCTCCTCAGTATCACATCACGCACTGCTAAGAACCGAATATATTTCCGAGATATAATAACAAAAACAGATAACCATTGTTTTTTTCCCGTAGGAAGAAGAATAGAAGTTATTGTCTTTATTTAGGTATTCAAAATTTGTATTAACATTTGAAAGTTCAATTGATAGTACACAAAAAAAACGATAACAATGGATGCATATTTTTAAAGCAACTGTAGGTCATTTCTAATCAATACTTTAGTACGTGTTATGGCATTTTTATAGACTATTTGAAAATTTTTTGTTTCAGCTACTGCCTCTCAGGTTTTTCTTTCTTTTAATGTTTACTCATATCAATATTCATAATCGCTCTCGTTTAAGCCCACTTTTGAAATAATTACAATTACCGTGAGTAAATTATAATAATGGCCTATTAATATCTTTTGAGCGAAGCTAGTTGTAGTTTATTCCTTTTGGTTATAATTGCTCGGCTAACAAGCGAACAATTACCCTTCTAAAGTTTTGAATTGTTTCTTGGGTAGTTGTAGTAAAATTCCTTCTTCGAAAGGCGATTACCTTCTTCTGGGCAGGGAGCCCTGTACAATTATTTTTATTGGGAATAGCCATGAATTATTGAGACTTGTCCAATGATGTGGGACAAGTATTGGCTGCATTTCGATCATTATTAATTGTAAAACAACTAGACTTTTACCTGATTTAGAATTCAGTGGTAAATTTTTTGATAATATAATATTAATGAATGGAGGGAAGAACCTTGGTGGGCTCGCTTATCTCGGTTGTGGGAAGACGAACTGATCCATGATTTAATATGCATAATATAATATGTACATTCAAGTATATTCTAAGCATTTTTCTTTCTTTTGATTTGTAATGATGAATTATATATTTAAAAAACTTAAGGTAATATTTACGCGTGTATAATTTGTTCCATTATTAGTTTACACTTGACCTATCCAGACTTGAATGAATGGTAAAATCAGTCTTTTTATTAAATATATCTTCTTGTTTTAATTGTGCATCGGTAATTTAATAATCATGATTTAGATTAGCTAATTTAGAATAATTTAGAAAAGCTAGTTGACGCTTATCTCGGTTGTGGAAAGACGAACTGATCAATGATTTAATATGCATAATATGCACATTTAAATATATTCTAAGCATTTCTCTTTCTTTTGTTTTGCTGTGATGAATTATATATTTAAAAGACTTAAGGGGACCCGGGAAAAGTGTTGCGGGTAGTATTTACAAGATTGGAGTAGGGTGGAAAGCGTAACCTACAAGGGACTTTTCTCATTAACTACTGAACCATTTTTGTTGAAATTTGGTACACATATTTTTCTTTTATTACCATCAAATTTAGCACGAGCGTTTTTGAAACTTTTCTTCTGAAAAAATGTGCAGCAAGAAAAATTTCAAATACATTTTTCTAATACTTTATTTATTGAATTTATTTCTCCAAACGAAATTGTTATTTGTGGAAAAGCTCTCATAGAAGCGTTTAAAGCCTTTTTATATTACAGCATAAAAAATTTGCACCGCACATCATAAACGAGTTGTCAGATTTTGTCTCTTTTGTATCAAAAAACCTTACTTTTCAGAGCAGCTGTTTTTCGGACGTAGTTCCCCAGAAGTGACGTTTTTTCATTATTTCGCATACCCTATCGATTCTACCACGATGAAACTTTCGGAACGACAACTCTGCTTGTGAACCTGTTTGCATTGTTTTAGGTCTTTTCTTGGTATTTTCTCCGTTCTAGTATTGTGATAATACGCCTCGGAAAGAGGTAGTGGCCGACGTTTATAGGAAATGGCGCTCGCTCCTGGAATAGGAATTCTTAATTAATTAATTTTTTAAACTATCTTTTAGTGATCCAATTTTACAAATTCTTGGTCCACATTATCCAGGTGGAGGTTTTTAAGCCAATAAAAAATTGGGGTAGATTGACCCGCAACACTTCCCTTAAGGTAATATTTATGTGTGTGTAAATTAATTTGTTCCATTTTTAGGCATACTCGAATAAACGGCAAAATTAGAGTTTTTATTAAATATATCTTCTTGTTTTAATTGTATATCGGTAATTTCAGGACATATAATCATAATTTAGAATAGCTAATTTAGAGTACTTTGGAAAAGCTAGTTGAGTTATTGATCATAACCTTTGATGAACATAACGGACTACAAATTTTCTTTTTGTGTTGTTCTCAGAAGAAAAAGCTCTTTCGAAAAATGAAATAAAAATTTTCAACTTAAAATACATGGTTAAAGGGAAGAGTACATTAAAACTAACGGGATGAAACATATAAACCTTTTCATGTGTGTATAGTAGTGTCATATATAGTAATATGCACAACTGAATAAGAAGTAAGGAACTGTTCCGCAATGTATTGAATTCGTTATTGACATTTAAAATTCAGATGTAAATTTAAATTTTGTTTTAAGTCGGCGCGATTCTAAGAATGGTCAGAAGGGCTGATCTTCCCGGTACTTTAAATTGTGTTAGGCGACCGCATATAAATTATAAAAGGATTTTTGGGAGAGACCAGTTTGAAATAAAAGGCCGGGACTACCGGTAAAGGTGATCGAGTTAGGCGGAATGCGATTAGCCGGACCCTCCTATTTGTTACATTTGATCCAATTTGCTAAGTGCCTCCTATGCAATATGCACTCACCCCACAGTTTAATTATCACTTTTGTCTCCCGGAATTGACATATTTATCTCCGCCCCGGGCCACTAGATCATCCGAGTTCTTTCCAAACCTCGACCTTCCTAATCAGTTTAGTTTCCCCATCAACACTTCGGCATCACTCCGTTATTTTTTCGCTGATGCTACGGCTCCCTGACTTTTGTTTTTAATTAAATGAATGCCCTTTACGATTGACGGGTGAAAAATGTGCTCCTCCGAAATGCCGAATGGATAAATCACGAAAGACGTACAGGGGAGAGAGAAAAAAAACGATTAGTTAACGTGGATACTCCTCTTGTCTAACGCACATTTGAATGTTTTTAGTAGACTAAGTATAAATCATTTTTATTTCTGCCATGGCCGGTGGAAAAATGTTAAAAAGCGCTCCAACTCGTATACTTCTTTTTTATGCTCCTAATCCGAAACGTTCAGTAAAATTAATTTTCTAAAATAGGAGACTGTTTATTCTACAGATGACCTACCAACTTTGTTTTCGAACATTGAATATTTCCTATCAATTTAACGACTTAAAAAAACTGTATTTTGTTGTGTACAATATTTCAAAATTGCGACTAGATATATTAAAAGTGTATATAAAATTCAAAGGAATTTGAAAGAAAGCAAAACATAAAGTTCCTAAGTCATGCTTTCGAGGAATACGTATCCTTCATCAGGACTTTGTCCCTTTGTCAGGACGACAAATATTTCAAATGATTTACACGGTTAACAAATACATAATGTATTTACTTTTTAACTTCGAAACTGTTTTCATTCCAAATTGGCCTTAAAATTGATTTTTTAAATTTTTAGGATAAAATTAAAGCGTACGATTATTTATAAATAGGCCAAAGCCAAACTTTATTTTTTTAAATTCACTATTTTCGTGGTCCGCTTGACCAATTAATATATTACAATTAATTAAGTTTTTTAGTTGAGATAAAAAGTCAATGGCACGAGCGGGATTCGAACCCACTCGGCTAGATACGCCACAGCTCTACCACTTGAGCTACCGTGACCTCGATCCACTCGGACACTAACTTCCCATCTCAACCCCACTTTTTGAATTTTCCCTCCTTTTTGCCATTTTTGAAATGTCGTGTAATGATTGGATCCTCGACGACAAATGAAATGGCCACGCGGAGCTTTAGTGAAGTATACTTCATTTTAAATCATTAAATTCACTAATTTCGTGGTCCGCTTGAGCAATTAATA